TGTGTGTGTGTGTGTGTGTGTGTGTGTGTGTGTGTGTGTGTGTGTGGGTGGGTGGGTGTGTCTGTGCACGCGAGAGAGAGAGCCCGCGGGCCCCCAACGCGCGCGCGAAATGAGAGAGAGAGCGTCGGATTGATTGCTTTACCGATTGATTGATTGATTGACTGATTGATTGACTTTTGCTCGATTGATTGCTTGACTGATTGTTTGATTGATTGATGAATTGATTGATCGATCGATTGATTGTGTGTGTGGGTGTTCTCATGTTCGCTATACACAACACATAAAACGCATGACTACGCCAACCTATTTCGTGGGACTTTCACCGACTCATCAAGGGGTCGAATCCCGACAGTCTACAGCCTTTCTTTTGTATTTTACTTTTTAAATATTCAAAATCGATTCGAAAACTTCCCCCCAAAAAAGGGGGGAGGGGGGTAGCCAACAAGCTGGGGCACCCACGTGTTTTTTCTTTTTTGAGGGGGTCTGAGCCCCCCTGAAAAGGCCGAACTGGCCGGTGAAAATCTCCGGAACGGCGAACGGGCTACGCACTCAGAGACAAAAAGACAATGATTCCTCCAAGCCCATACAAGCATATAAATGTCCTGGAGAATTAAAAGACCATAAACAAACGAGAACAAAGGGCTTATCACCTGATCCGCATCATCACAAGTGAATGTCTTACCTCGCTGTGCCTTCCCAAGAACAAGCAGTAGCAGGAGGAAGGTCAGCTCCAGTGCCACCCACGTCACCCCAGCAAAACTCTTCATCCTCCCTCAACGTTCGAAGCGCAAAAGTACCACCCATCCAGCTATTTGACCCTTCTCCAAGCTCCTCAATCTCATATCAATCCCAACCACATTCTCTCTCTCTCTCTCTCTCTCTCTCTCTCTCTCTCTCTCTCTCTCTCTCTCTCTCTATCTATCTATCTATCTATCTATCTATCTATCTATCTATCTATCTATGTCTGTGTGTGTGTGTGTTTGATACAGACTCAGAAGCGCGCACTTGCCATGCTCTGCCTGCTTGTGTGAGAGATGCTGTGACAAATTGGCTGTCTCCCACCCGCAACTCGCACTTCACGCGTAATCAAACTCGCCATCTCTCTCTCTCTCTCTCTCTATATATATATATATATATATATATCTGTGTGTGTGTGTGTGTGTGTTTGATACAGACTCAGAAGCGCGCACTTGACATGCTCTGCCTGCTTGTGTGAGAAATGCTGTGACACATTAGCTGTGTCCCACCCACAAGTCGCACTTCACTTGTTCTCCTACTTGCCAGTGTCCTGAACTTTCCTCAACAAGATCAACAGCATGATGAATACAAGGTGTCCACACAGGACTGGCATCTCATTGATGAGGGGAACTTAGGATTGGCCTTCATGCCTCTGCCTGTTCCGTCAGTCCACGGTGAAGTTAGGACCGAAGTAATACAACATCATAAATCAACTGTTATCCTCCGCCCCGTCCCCATTTTGTCTCCCCCCTCCACTGATGACTCTCTCTCGAGTCTCCGGCAGCAGCACACAGTCGATAAGCCCCATCACACCGATTATTCAGCAGCTCCTTCTGCAGCCCTTTCGGTTCGGTCCCATTACTTACCAGGCCTCTCTCAAGTTGTCATTCAAGAATCCCACGTATAGACTTCTGTACTAATAGTCAAATCATGAGCTCGAGCCTTCCACTTGGACACTGTCCACCGTTGCGTCAGCAGCCCTACTCTCAAAAACACATGGGCAGCCCTACTCTCAAAAACACATGGTAAGCATCGGTCTCGCTGCACTACTCTCGAGATGCACAAAAGACAAAAATATTGGCGGTGTATCTTTCCATATTCTAGCGCAAGATTCACTCTCGTTTTGCACATTTTCGAGAGTAGTGCGGCGAGGCCCTGGGTCTGGCTGGCTCCACTACCATCCGCTCTCCAAAATTTGGAGGCTTCGACGTCGCTCTGCTAAGGGCCTCGCCAGGCCCCCGTCCAAACTAGGTTTTTTTCGACGGATGTCAGTGATTTTTTTTATTTTTTATTTTTTATTTTTTTTTGTCAGTGAAATTTCCACAGGGGTCTACCTCGCTCCACTTGGGCCCTCGCTGCACTAGTCTCGAAATGTGCAAAAGAGAGTGAATCTTCCGCTCGAATATGGAAATATGCACGGCCATGATTTTTGTCTTTTGTGCATGTCGAGCGTAGTGCAGCGAGCCCCTTGGGGCCTCGCCACACCACCGTCCAAACTTCTGGTAGGGTTCTTTCAATTTCGAGGGGTATCCGTGAAATTTCTCCAAGGTCTAAGGGCCTCGCCACACAACTCTCGAAATGTGAAAAAGACAAAAATGTGGCGCGTGCATCTGGTAATGTTCTAGCGGGCAGTTCATTCTCATTTTGCACATTTCGAGAGTGGTGTGGCGATGCCGTAAAAAGGGCCAGATCCCACTGGCAAAGAGGATTGGAATAAGTGGCCGAATGTGGACGTGTTCCACGCAGAGATGCCGAAAAGCAGTTCAATCACAATTGTTTGCACCTTCCGCAAATACGTCCAGATTCAGCGTCTTATTCCAATCCACTTTGCCAGTGGGATCTGGCCCAAAGACGAAAATGGGGCCGGTGCATCTGGCTATGTTCTACATTGTCTTTTTGCACATTTCGAGAGTGGCGTGGGGATCCCCTAACTGGCTCCGCCACACCACCGTCCAATCCAAACTAGGTAATAGGTGGAATTTTGACAGGGTGGAAGCCCCCCCACTTAAGGGCCTCACCACACCACCGTCCAAACTAGGTTTTTTTTCGATGGGGGTCCTTGAAATTTTGCCAGGATCTAACTACCTCCACTTAGGGCCTTGCCACACCCCTGTCCAATTGGACAAGTTTTCGAAACCTGTCAAAAAAATTCCAAAAGGGCCCAATTCTTCGGCGTGACCTGCTCTCGCCGCATAGCACCGTCGAGCGAAGTTGGTGTCGGACATCTCATTTGGACGTATGTGTTTTCGACTGCGCTGTGTGGCAACAGCGGGTGCTGGCAATATTTGTGCAGTGGAGAGCAGGCAGTCCGGTAGTTCCAAAATTTGATGGCGATATAGTCAGGAATCTGGGCCTGTTTCTGGCACAGATGCAGACAAGTATGCAAATGTGGAACACTTGTACACCGTTCTCTAAGGCCCACGATGTCCTTGAGAAAAAAGCATGGATTCGACGGCGATGGTCGAAGTCGGTCCAAACAAAACACTGAATGTGCCAACTCGGCCTCGTTGACAGCAGTTGAAAATCAAATTGCTTTTCACCAACTTCTTGGGACCTTGTGAACTTTGGGCCGCCATAGGATTACATTTTGGAGTTGGAAACGGTAATCGTCCAAATGCATTTTGTAACAGGTCGCAAACCCATTTCGACAGGTGCCGTTTCGATAGCCTGTGAGGCGACCCGAGACTGACGAAAAAAACCGTTTTCGACAGTGTTGTGGCAAGGCCCTAGGTTTTTAAAACGGGTACAGGGTCGAACCCCCTCCACTTAGGGCATAGCCGCACCACTGTTGAAACTAGGTTTTTTTTCAAAGGTTGTCTGTGAAATTTCGGCAGGATCTAAGTCACTCCACTTCGGGCCTCGCCACACCACCGTCCAAAGTTTTTTTTTTTTTACGGTCTCCGTTAATTTTTAACAGTGTTCTATTGTACAGTTTCCTGCACCTTTCATCACATAGCACGTTCGTGAAAAGGCAAAAGGTCAAGGGAATTAATTGGAATTACCAAATTGTAAACATCATAGTCTTTCAACAGTCAGTATCGATGCTCTGTCAACTACAAATTTGAGCTTCAAAAACTTTGACAAGGGTTATGGAAGCTTGGTCTATGGCAAGTGGGAGGAAAGGGCACGACAATGTCATATATTTATTTATGGCAACTGATAAAAGTTTTTCAATAATTTATTTTTGAATGGATGTGTGGGGGTGTGAAATGCTATATCGCGGTGTGAAACTGATGAAAATTGAATTTTCGATGAAGGTATGACAAGACACTTACTCTTCAAAATTAACCTGGAAAACAATTTAGAGAGTTGTCATATTTGACTATCGAAAAACGTTCTCTGTGTTTGGAAAGTTTTGTTTGCACAAGCGGTTGTTTGGAAATTCCTTTGAGACGTGGACTCGATTTTTGAAAGTTTGTTTTTACCCTGGATGGTCGAAATGCTGATAGCGTTATTTTTTCAAACATTGTCACGAATTGGAGAGTCATTGCACATAAAAACAATGGGGAGTAAGTGATCTATGACGAATTTTTTGTAATCTTTGACAGTCTGACAACTCTCCAAGCACTCTCCGACTTTTTTTAGAGTGGACAGTAGTATAGCAAGACCCTATGGGTCTCCCCACATATATTGTCAAGGTTTTCAAGAGTTGTCATATGATTTCGAAAGTAGTATTTTCAAGAGGTTTGGGATCTTTGCCACACCACCTCTCAAACTGCCCACTATCAAAATCGCATGCAAAACCTTTAAGCAAAATTTTTTATCATGTTGTAAGAGCAAAAACTCTAACAAGGATATTTTCTCCATGTTTTCACACATCAGAGGCGGTCCGAGATGGAATGTAAAATCAAAACTTATCATGTGATTAAAAGTTCAATATAGTTATCGGCTAACATCATCAAGTAAGAAAAATAAAAAATTTATATAAATAAATATATACATATATATACAGGGTCACCAACCCATACGTACGAAGGTCCCCAGGCTAACCTCCGTACATTCAGGCGTGCGGGGTCCGAAACCGAAGGCGTTCGACCCCCGCCACAAATTATTTCAGGGCCTAAAAAATAAGTTTTTTTTTGAATTATTTTTTGTGTTCTTTATAATGTGAGGTACATAACTATAAATTTTGAATTCATTTTGCTAAACGAAAAAAAAATTAAAAATCACCAAAGATGGTGGTCGCAAAACATGCTCGCCGACTCACTATTTTGTTTTCTTTCACTATTTACTTTTTGTTTTCACTTTATTGCGAAACATAAATAATTTTATTATTATTATTATTATTTTTAATGATTTTTGTATTATGTGAAGTACAGATCTGTAAATTTTTACGGCATTTTGCTATACCAATAAAAATAAAAAATCCCCAAAGATGGCGGTGTCGAAAATGTGCTCTCTCACTCACTAATGTTAATTTTTTTATTTTTTATTTTTAAGTTTTATTTTATGCATTTTATTTTTATTTCAAATTTTGTAAGGAATTTGGATGTAATGCTTAGACAAATGTTGTTTATTTTAGTTTTTTTCATAATATATTTTTTTAAGAGTTTTTTCTTTTTCCAGCGTATCCACAAGGTGTCTCATACATTCGAGAATTCATGTTCGGCCGTTTGGCCCGTCCCGAACGTCAATTACTTTTATATGTATATAGATAGATAGATAATTAGATAGATAGATAGATAGATAGATAAATAAATAGATAGATAGATAGATAGATGGTTACCAGACCGAAGGTTCGGAGGCCCCTGAACATAAAAAATATATTTTTTGTTGAAATTTGTTTCGTGAGTTCAATATGATACTGGCGAAATGCATATAAAAATTTTTAAGGCATTTTGGCAAGCCAAACAAAAATGAAAAATTGTCAAAGATGACGATGTCAAAAAGTGTTTGGCCACTCAATTTTTTATTGTATTTTTTTAATTTTTTTAATGAGCTTCGGGTTTACCATCCCGTACGTACGGAGGCCCCTGGGCCAACCTCCGTACGTTCGGGCGTTCGGGGTCACGTTCGGGGGCCGAACCCCTCCGAACCTGAAGAGGTTCGTCCCCCGCCAAAAATTATTTCGGGACCTAA